AACATGGACGGAATATGTGAGCAACGAGAAACTCTTAAGGAAAACAGGAAAAAACGAGGAACTTGATACTTACAATCAGAAAGAGATACCAGAGATTACTGGGACATATAATGAGGAAAGAAGGCCTGAATAATTTAATACTCACAGTACAGAGCGAAAACAATTGAAGCAGGCAGAAACAACATGTAACACCACTTAACGAGTTTGCGTGAAGGGACGGTAGTATAAGGATAGAGATGGATGGTAAACGATCAAAGAGTGCTTAGATTAACGAAAACTGGAAGTTGTGGAAGGCTTTGATCGCCCACGTCCTAAAAGGGGAATACTTTGTTTATCCCCATTGTCTCGTCTTTAGGGTCTTGTTGACCAATATTTATCTGTCTATTAATCTAGATCAGTGTTTCTCAACCTTTTTATCCAATGGCACATCTATGAGAAAATGAAGATAGCTAGGCACACTTTACAAAATTTTTGAAGGGTAGAGATTTAAATGTTATGGAATAAAACCATAGATCTTTAAAAAAAAAAATACAAACAAAAATATGAACTTATTTTATTTCTAATGTTTATATTCAACTATCTGTGCGGCTAATTTGAAGTGTGAAAACTGTGCCTGGTATTTTTTCACGATTTCTTCAATGTTTGATTGAATGTGCGATAAGCAGACCCCAATTTCTATTTCAATTGAGCTTAGCCTTTCTCGCTTCTTTTTTTGTTATTTAGGGTTGGGAAGCCTGATTTACGAAAATAAGAATTAGAAAATTGCAATAATGGGAATGATAAAGCTTTTTCATCAAATGGATATTCTTTTTGTATTGAAATCCAAAATGTATCAATGGGTGCCGTCGAATGTTTTATTTTGAACCCTCAATCACGAGAAATGGTGACCAATTCATCTTCTTCACATAACTGAAGTCCAATATTAGAAATAATATTTATGATGGGATTTCGAATTCAATCATATCTTTCTGTACGCAATGGAGGAAAATAATGATGGATGTTTTCATCGAACGATTTCATTTTTTGAATGCACGTGGTACCCATTGGAGGAAACATCAAAATTACCCAATCTTGGTCTATTTATACAAATCACAATTTTATTTTTAAGGGGAACCAACTTATCTGTAGAAGTGAAAATATTTTCGTCTTTACCTTAGTTTTATTTGACTGTTTTGTTTTACGGCATATCAACCTCAATGGGTTATTTTATGCCGACAAGATTTTTATTGCTGGTAATAGTTTTTATCTATCTATCTATCTATCTATCTATCTATCTATCTATCTCAGTATATATCGGTTTGGTTTGTTTTGTTTTACGGCAAATCAACCTCAATGGGTTATTTAATGACGAAAATATTTTTATTACTGGTAATATTTATTCCCCAAAAATGTATTGCTGTTAATAAGTTTTGCTTCAAAAGTCTATGGCTGGTAATATTTTCATTTTTTCAAAAATATTTTGCTGGTAATATTTTTTCCACAAAAATTCATCGCTGGTAATAATTTTTTTACAAAAATGTATTCCTGGTATTAAAACCTATTTTTACCCTTTCATAATGTTTTGTACACAGTATGGGGTTAATTATTTGCCCATAGTTAGGACCCTAACACGGTGGACTTAAGAACACCAGCAATTAAGATTTGCATCCACTCTCCTCAAAATCTCTCGATGAGAGGCCTTGCTGTCGGACGTAGTTTATAGCCTTACTCAGGACGCGGATGTAGTTTATCGTCTTACCCAGGACGCGGATGTAGTTTATCGTCATACCCAGGACGCGGACGTAGTTTATAGTCTTACCCAGGACGCAGATGTAGTTTGTCGTCTTAGCCAAGACACGGACATCATAATCTTACTCAGGACGTGGATGTAGTTTGTTGTCTTAGCCAAGAAACGGATGTAGTTTATAGTCTTACCCAAGATGCGGATGTAGTTTGTCGTCTTATCAAGAATGCGGACGTAGTTTATCGTCTTACCCAGGATGCGGACGTAGTTTATAGTCTTACCCAGGACGCGGATGTAGTTTGTCGTCTTACCCAGAAGGCGGACGTAGTTTATAGTCTTTCCAAGGACCCGGACGTAGTTTATAGTCTCACCTAGGACACGGATGTAGTTTATCGTCATGCCCTGGACGTTCTCTACCTTGCATGGTATTGTTCGTATTATATTGTTGAGAAAATATTTCACGGCACATGTAAGAGGATCACGCGGTACAGCTGTTGATTATCACTGCTTTAGACAAATAACCTAAGACAAGTCTCATATATAATGTCACCGATCATTGCAAAAGCAATAGTGGCACAATTGCGGTATGGCGAGTTGGCGAGGAGAGTAATGGAGATCTGCTCGGAGTCGGTTAGTTTTGAGTCTAGCAGAGATGACACCTTTAATTAAAAACAAACAGAAAAAAAAATCACGTAGTTTTGTTCGTTCATTCAGACCGGTAGACGCCATCATACCAAACAAGTATCAACAGTTTTAATATATACAAAAATAAAACAAAGGAAAAATACACACTCTCTCTCTCTCTCTCTCACACACACACACATTCACACACACACACACACACATTCACACACACATACACCTATTTGTCTTTTAATCTGACGCCTACGTACCTACCTACTCACCTACCTACCCAGCGAAGGTGAAACGCGTTATCAATAAAAGTTTTTCCACTTTGATTTCTCCACCATCTACCTATCTCTTTTCTTTTTAATGATTTCATTTCAAGCAAGGCTATAAAGCCACTAAGATTCAAATGGTTACTGGGAGTGAAAGAAAATGAGAAGACTTTAAAACAGTGGTGCACAACCGATTCTGGGCCATGCCCCACTTTGGTTATTCTAAAATTCGGGTGACTCCCCCCGCCATTGTAATATTTAATTCTTACATATTCAAAATTTTAATGCAATTCACGTGAAGGAAGCTTAAAAGGCCATTAACTTGGTCTTCAAACAAGACTCTAAAGACCATGGCGTCCATGAAAGAGAAAAATTTTAAAAACAAAAAGACAGTTAAATATATATAGTTTCAAAGCATATAATAGAGAACTGAAATGCAGAAATATAAAATATTTGAATGAAAGTTTATTCTCTAATATACTTTGATCATTTTAATTATGAAATAATAATGAAAAATGAAATTTGAGCTCACGATATAACGATTCACTGTTAATACCTCATTCTCGAATTGTCACATTACTCTGTTGGTATAGTAAGCCGAAGGGTGTACATACTACGCATGCCCCACCCAAATATTACCACGCCCCACCGGTGAGGCATGCGCCCCACGTTGGGAATCATTGCTTTAGAAGGAACCGGAAACCCAATCCTAAACAGGAAACAAGACATAAACCTCTAACGCTGTTCAATAGACAGGGAAGGAGTGCGAATGCAATCGTAAAATTGATAGTCACCATGCCGTGTTGATACATCTGTCCCGATTCTTTCTTTTTTTCCTTTTCTATCTATCTATCTATCTATCTATCTATCTATCTATCTATCTATCTATCTATCTCTGTCTGCGCCTATCTATCTATCTATCTATCTATCTATCTATCTATCTATCTATCTATCTATCTCAGTCTGTTCATATCTATCTATCTATCTCAGTCTGTTCATATCTATCTATCTATCTATCTATCTATCTATCTATCTATCTATCTATCTATCTATCTATCTATCTCAGTCTGTTAATATCTATCTATCTATCAATCTCAGTCTGTTCATCTATCTATCTATCTATCTATCTATCTATCTATCTCAGTCTGTTCATCTATCTATCTATCTATCTATCTATCTATCTATCTATCTATCTATCTCAGTCTATTCATATTCATTCATCTTCATCTATCTATCTATCTCAGTCTATTCATATCTATCTATCTATCTATCTATCTATCTATCTATCTATCTATCTATCTATCTCAGTCTGTACATATCTATCTATCTATATATCTATCTATCTTATGTAATCTAATCTGTTCTATTCTCATCTGAGAATACTGAGAATTTCAATTTCTCTTATACTTCTGCACACTACCAAACACCATATTTGCTGTAGGTGAACATGCCGGAAATCAGTTCATTGCATTTTGTCGTATTACCTTGCCATTTTTGTTTCCCTTTCCTTTTTTTTTTTCACTCCGTGCGCATCATTAATTGTTTCAAGTGTTAGTTGTTCTGTTATCAATTCAAAGGCTCTACTAGTTTAGCAATAGCAAGAGTAGAATATCTTTCTGATCATATAGAATTCGAAACAATTACGTTGGTTCAAATTGGAGCACGATTACAGAACAATAAAATACAACTGATTGATTAACTACGTCAGCATGGCTTACTGAGCAGAGATATGCGATTTACTGTCTGCTATTTTGTGTGCAACTAAAAAAAATACCATGGGAAACAAAGAACGAATGAACAAAACAACGACCAAAAGAAAGAAAGAAAAAGTGTTGCAAAGCTAAAAGGAATAAAGGAGTTAATGTTCTGCAAAGAAAGAAATAAGCAAACCACAATAAAATAGAATTAATTGATTAACTACGTAAGTATGGCTTACCGAGCAAGAGAGGTATATGATGTAATGTATGCATGTCTCTGGATCAGACAAAAAAAAAAAAAAATTAAGAAGAAATGAATGAAAGAATTGAAAGAAAGAACGACAGAAAGAATCAATTGCTGGAAAAAAAAAAAAAAAAAAAAAACAGAAAGTGTTGTCCGAAAAAAGAAAGAAAGAAAGAAAGAAAGAAAGAAAGAAAGAAAGAAAGAAGTGTAAAAAAAAATGTGAAGAGTTAGAAAAATAAACAAAGACAGAAAACTCAATGTTATCCGAAGAAAGAAAAAAAAGAAAGAAAGAAAGGAAGAAAACATGAAAGAAATAAGGAAAGAAAGAAAGAAAGCAAACATGAAAGAAACAAACAAACAAAGAAAATATGAAAGAAAGAAAGAAAGAAAGAAAGAAAGAAAGAAAGAAAGATGTGATAAAAAGTAAGGATGAAGAGTTAGAAAAAAAAAGAAAGAAAACTAAGTGTTATCCGAAGAAAGAAAGAAAACATGAAAGAAATAAGGAAAGAAAGAAAGAAAGAAAGTAAGAAAGGAAGCAAACATGAAAGAAAGAAAGAAAGAAAGAAAGAAACTATGAAAGAAAGAAAGAAAGAAAGAAAGAAAGAAAGAAAGGCGAGAAAAAAAGAATGAAGAGATAGAAGAATAAACAAAAACAGAGAACAAAGTGGCATCCGAAGAAAGAAAGACAGCAAGCAAACATGAAAGAAAGAAAAAAGAAAGAAAGAAGTGTAAAAAGAAAGAATGAAGAGTATGAAAAATAAACAAAGACAGAAGAAAGAAAGAAAGCAAGCGTAAAAGAAAGCAAGAAAGAAAGAAAGGAAGAAAGAAAGAAAGAAAGACGAGGAAAAAAAAAGAAAGAATGAAGAGTTAGAAAAATAAACAAAGACAGAAAAGTAACTGTTGTCCGAAGAAAGAAAGAAAGAAAGAAAGAAAGAAAGCAAACATGAAAGAAAGAAAGAAACAAGTGTAAAAAGAATGAAGAGTTGGAAATAAACAAAGATAAAAGTAAGTGTTATCTGAAGCATGAAAAGAAAGAAAGCAAACATGAAAGAAAGAAAGAAAGAAAGAAAGAAAGAAAGAAAGAAAGAAAGAAAGAAAGCAAACATGAAAGCAAGATAGCAATAAACCAAATAGCAAGGAAAGCAAGAAAAATAAAATAGAATTAACTGATTTGCTATACCATCATGGTTTATTGTTCAAAGAGATCCGGTGTACTGTATGCAATTTTGTGCTTTCGACGATCGAACTCCGCCATATTTTCCAGTGGCGGTGAGGAGGGGGATGATGAAACTCTAAAGTAGCGCCAAATTTTTCACAGGTAATCATTATAAAATAAAAAACCTTATTTATAACTTTTGAATAGTCATATTACGTTCTGCACTTACCCAAATAGAGATCTTTCTTATTATACATCTGGAAATGGCTGAAGAATGTATCAACCGAAACAGTGTGTAACAATAAATACGCCAAAAAAAAAAAAAAAAAAAAAAAAAAAGGCCGGTGGTGTGAAAAGAGCTTAGAAGTATAAAATACAATGTTAAGTTAAGCTATATGTTACAAATCCCTATATGTCCGTGGAATAAAATCTTTTACATTGCAATCTTGAATCTCTTTTAATGTGATATATTTAATTGCTAAAGAAACGCCGTACTTTCCGTTGTGTGGTGTTTATATTTTAAACATTTATTCATATTTTCTTTTCCTTTTTGTTTAATTGTCCGTTTTTACATCCGGGACACGTTGAAAGGATTTAAGTAGACGCCATAAAAGTCTTTACTTCTATTTGCCATTCTTTCCACATTGCCACCTGGCATTTCACCTAGTTTCACTGCTTTAATTTATTCATGTAAGTTTTAATTCCCATGAGATGGGGAAATAAATATGGCTGGATAAATACCTCAACCGCACCCCACCTGCGCCCCCGAAAAAAAACAAGTGATGAAATTTAAATTAAAGCAGGAAATATAAAATAAATTCGAGTAGAAAAACAAGAAAAGTTCACAATTCAAAGAAAGAAAGAAAGAACGAGAGAAAGAAATAAAGAAAGAAAGAAGTAATGCAAAAATAAACGCAAGAAAAAAAGAAAGAGATGTGAGAATAATAACAAACAAATAATACATCTTTTTGTATATATATATATATATATATATATATATATATATATATATAAAAGTGAACATTGAAGTCAGCACTCAGAGGCTGTTTCAAAGCATGTGAATGATGATTGCGTCTAGCATGAAACAGTCTGTCGCCCTGAGTGCTGACTTCAATGTTCACTTTTAGATTTACATACGCCTATCACTGATACTGAGCACTTATAACTATCATTTTTTTCATATATATATATATATATATATATATATATATATATACATATATATATATGTATATATATATAAACATAACTATTATCCTTTTACAGATGCATCTATCTGAAATTGTACACACACACACACACACACACACACATATATATATATATATATATATATATATATATATATATATAGTTAAATTCCCAGATGAATTCCGTGGACAAGACAGATTGGTATCAAATGACAATTGGAAAAAAAAATCTTACATTTTGCCGACGCGTTTCGTCTTCCGACATTTTCAAGGCAAAAATGAAATCGAAATGTTTTTGTTGTTATAGTTACATTAAAAAAAACAAATTTAAAAAGATAGACGCTTCTGTCTAAGCCTTTTTTCTGGTTAATGTAAATTACCTTAAAAGTAAAGGATTTTTTTATTTTTATTTTTTTTTTCATGTCGACAATATAGTTAAATTCCCAGATTAATTCTGTGGACAAGACATTAAAAAAATCCCTTACTATAAAGGTAATTTACATTAACCAGAAAAAAAGGCTTAGACAGAAGCGTCAATTTTTTTAATTTTGGATTTTTAATGTAACTATAACAACAAAAACATTTCGATTTCATTTTTTCATTGAAAATGTCGGAAGACGAAACGCGTTGGCAAAATGTAAGATTTTTTTTTCCAATTGATATTTTATACCATATATATATATATATATATATATATATATATATATATATATATATATATATATATATATATATATATATATATATAAAGAGACTTTTTTTATTCAAATTGACTCTGTTCTGAAGATCGGTTGCGTTTACTTAACCAATGAAATTGTTAATGAGTTAAGTTAAAAAGAAGCTTTTTTTTATTTTCATTTCTATTATCGCTATCTCCCTGTCTCCGATATTGAGCACTCTACAGCAAAGCCTGTTTGCCTCAGATGCATCGTTATAGCAAACCACTGAAAAAACAACTATTTTGGCTTCAAAAACAGTATCTCAAATTAACACTATATATATATATATATATATATATATATATATATATATATATATATATATATATATATATATATATATATATATATATATATATATATATATATATATATATATATATATATATATATATGAATCTATACATATATATATATATATAAATCATATATATATATATATATATATATATATATATATATATATATATATATATATATAAAGCCTGTTTGCCTCAGATTCCTCCTTATTAGCACATCACTGAAAAACAAAACAGCTATTTTGAATAGCAAATTTCAAAACATTATATATATATATATATATATATATATATATATATATATATATATATATATATATATATATATATATATATAAACTGTTTTAATTTTTTTTTTATATTTTTACAATTATTGAATAAGCTGTTGAGTATTGTGCTCAAAATTGTGTATGAACTGTTTGAATTTCTTATGGTGTTATAGTTTTGTTCAAATGCTTTTCTACCTGGTCATTTTCAAAAACTAATGTGGTGTTTGTATGATAGGCAGAATTCCTCTGTCTACATCCTGTTATTGTTTGAAACGATGGAAGTTTGACGTCATGTATAATGGTTATTGGGAACGAGGCCGTATAAAAAAGAATGTGATTTTTATATATATATATATATATATATATATATATATTTAAAAGAAAAAAAACTTCCAAAAAGTGCTATCTGATGATACGGCGTCCTTTAAAAGGACTCTGGTGAAATAAATTATTATAATGGCACCTTAAAGTGGTCTGTTTTTCTTTTAAATATTAGCTCTGGATTTACATTGAGCTCTCAGGATATCAGCATCCTTGGGGGGTACCCATATACATTACCAAGTTCTTCATAACTTAAATATATATATATATATATATATATATATATATATATATATATATATATATATATGTGTGTGTGTGTGTGTGTGTGTGTGTGTGTGTGTGTGTGTGTGTGTGTGTGTGTGTGTGTGTGTATAAATATATATTATATGCACTTCAAGATACTGTCTAATAATAATAACTTAGGGTTCTGTATCTTTCTTTGTATAGGTTGCTGCAGAATATTTTGGAGCCGGAAGAGAGTTTCACAATCGGGAAATGAAACTGTTACCATAGAACTTACGGTTACATCTTACCAATCCAAGTGTGAAATGATGAGACCTTAGCGGTAGATATGTGCATGGATTGCATTGAGTTTTGACAGGTGACAAGTTATTTTGCGAGTGGGTTTGGTGCATATGTGACCGATATAAGAATTTAATGTTTTTATCTTTATTGTTCGCTTAGAAGGCATGAGAATTCTTAGACAACACTATTTTTACAAAGGTAGGATTTTTGAGGACATGTGTTCTTGGTAATAATTAGATTAAATGTTTTAAACATTTATAGTAGATGATAAAAAATAGTTTTTTGTTAAGATCCTTGTGTCGTATTGTATCGGCAAATTATGCTTCTAATTGCTTTTTCCTAATTAGGGTGCAGCTGGTTAGGTTAATCGTGGGTTTATTTTCGTTTGAATCAAGGAGGTGTCTTGAGATATTTTTTCAAAATTTAGTTAAGGCTAATTTTATTTCTTCGTCGACGATTTGCTTAGGAAATTTATTGTTGAGAGCGTGTTAAATATTGTTTCTTAGCGCCTTATAGATTAATGGGTTCGAAGAAAAAATACTTTTGAAGATGAGGATAATAGTCTGAATAATGTAAATAATACACATGAGTTATTTATGATCTTTTTTAAAATAGAAGTGGTAAAATTATGGCTGTTCGTATCGACTAAGATGCCGAAGAAACTGATTCTATTATTAATAGTGAGTGCGTGAAATAGGACAAAATTATCCTCAAAAATTGATTTTCTATTTCTATTCCGAAATTCTATTCCGATTTTATTTTGTTTATTTTTTTTTCTAATAAGAAGATGCCGTCGATATAATCTGCAGCTTGGTGGTATTATTTAAGATTTCGTTTTCTACAAGTGTCAAATAGAAATTAGAAAGAGTCGGTCCAAGAGGTGAACCCATCGCTACGCTGTCGGTTTGTGTGTAAATTTTGCCATTGTAACCGTAAAAAGGAACATGTACCTTGAAGGATTTATATGCGAAAGCAAAAATATAATACCGGCTAAAACCTTCTATGTTGAAATGGCATTGAATCTCTTTTTCGATAAAACAATATTGTTTTTTACTTAGTGGCTTTCAGAAATCTCTAAATATACTAGTGTTCTGTATCCGCTATCGATAACTTTTGACGCTTGCCACACAATGTATTTAAATTTTCGCAAGAGCACTCGAGACTTGCAAAGATTCGAATCTATATTTTATTTAAAGCGATCGTTACATTCAACTTACCGATTGAAATGCTCGCTTATTTTATCTATAATTCTTGACCCGATTTCTTGTTTATTTTATTTATTTTACTTATTTTTCTTGTGCTTTTTTTAAAAATTTATTTTCCACCTGTATGTCAAATTTCCTCTAGAACAGTCTTCTATTTTTATTTTGTATACTTAGCCTTTTCTTTTCTCTTTCTCTTTGCTCTTTTATTCATTTTGGTAAAATCTCATATTTATCAGTCTTTTTTCCCACCATTCCTGTCTTTCTTTTCTTTCTTGATGCATTTTGGCTTCTTCCCTTTGCGCACATTTTCTTTTTTTTTCTATATCTGTCTATATCTTTGTGATTAGGTATTATGATCACTTGCATTATTTACAATATTCGGACTGTTATCCTCATCTTCATTGCCATATTCACAACGT